TGGTGGACTCCACAATTTTTCGTTTTTTAAATTTCACGCTTTATTTTCCCATTTCTCGATATCCCGACTTCTCAATGTTTGGATTTTTCAGTTTTTCAATTTCTCAAATTTTCGATTCTTCAATGTTTCGATTTCTGAAATTTAAAATTTTTGGACTTTGATTTCTCGATTTCTCAATTTTTCGACGTTTCAGTTTTGGCATGTTTCAATTAAATTTTCCATTTTGCATTTTTCTATATTTCAGGTTTGGGAATTTTCAATAATTTTTCGATTTTTCGTGTTCTTGATGTTTTAATGCTTCGATTCCCAGATTTTTCAGTTCTACGATATTTTAATTGTCCAATTTTTAAGGTTCTAGATTTTCAGATTTTTCATTTATCGATTTTTCAATTTTGTCGAAATTTCGATTTTTCGATCAATTTCTCGATGTTTTGGTTTTTCAATTTTTCTATTTATCGAATTTTATAAATTTAAAATTTTACAATTTTTCAATTTATTACTTTTCGATTTTCCACCGTTGGCCTCTTTCGATTTCACAGTTTTCCAATTTTTTGATTTGTCGGCTTTTGGATTTTTCGATCGTTTGAAGTTTTGATTTCTCGATGTTTCAGTTTTTAAGTTTTTTGATGTTTCCTCTTTTCGATTTCCCAGTTTTCCAATTTTTTGGCTGTTTGATTTTCCAATTTTTCGTCTTTTCGATTTTCAGTTACTCGATTTTTCAGTTTTTCCATTCTGTTATTTTTGCGATTTTTCAATTTTTCGATTGTTTGATGTTACGATTTTACGATCTTTCAAGTTTGGATTTCTCAATTTTTGAGTATTTCAGCTTTGAGATTTTTGAGTTTCTTTATTCCCCAATTTTTCGATTTTTCATTTTCTCGATTTTTCAATTTCTCAATTTTTAGTTTTTCAATTCCTCAAATTTTTGATTTTTCAATTTTTCGATTTCTGAAATTTAAAATTTTTGGACTTTGATTTTTCGATTTCTCAATTTTTCGATATTTCAGTTTTGGCATGTTTCAATTAAATTTTTATTCCATTTTGCATTTTTCGATATTTCATGTTTGGGGATTTTCAATATTTCGATTCTCCAATTTTTCGATTTTTCGTTTTCTTGATGTTTTAATGCTTCGATTCCCAGATTTTTCAGTTCTTCGATATTTTAATTTTCCAATTTTTAAGATTCTAGATTTTTCGATTTTTCATTTATCGATTTTTCAGTTTTTTCGAAATTTCGATTTTTTGATCGATTTCTCGACTTTTTGGTTTTTCAATTTTTCTATTAATCGAATTTTATAAATATAAAAGTTTACAATTTTTCAATTTATTACTTTTCGATTTTCCACCGTTGGCCTCTTTCGATTTCACAGTTTTTCAATTGTTTGATTTGTCGGCTTTTGGATTTTTCGATCGTTTGAAGTTTCGATTTCTCGATGTTTCAGTTTTTAAGTTTTTTGATGTTTCCTCTTTTCGATTTCCCAGTTTTACCAATTTTTTGGCTGTTTGATTTTCCAATTTTTCGTCTTTTCGATTTTCAGTTACTCGATTTTTCAGTTTTTCCATTCTTCTATTTTTACGATTTTTCAATTTTCGATTTTTTGATGTTTCGATTTTCCGATTTTTCAATTTTTCGGTATCTTAATTTTTCAATTTTTTGAATTCTCAATTTTTCAAGTTTCGATCTCTCAATTTTTGAGTATTTCAGCTTTGAGATTTTTGAGTTTCTTTATTCCCCAATTTTTCGATTTTTCATTTTCTCGATATTTCAATTTCTCAATTTTTAGTTCTTCAATTCCTCAAATTTTCGATTTTTCAATTTTTCGATTTCTGAAAAGCAAAAATTTTCGGACATTGATTTTTCGATTTCTCAATTTTGCGACTTTTCAGATTTGACATGTTTCAATTAAATTTTTCTTCCATTTTTCATTTTTCGATATTTCAGGTTTGGGAATTTTCAATATTTCGATTCTCCAATTTTTCGATTTTTCGTTTTCTTGATGTTTTAATGCTTCGATTCCCAGATTTTTCAGTTCTTCGATATTTTAATTTTCCTTTTTTTAAGATTCTAGATTTTTCGATTTTTCATATCGATTTTTTAGTTTTTTCGAAATTTCGATTTTTTGATCAATTTCTCAACTTCTTGTTTTTCAATTTTTCTATTAATCGAATTTTATAAATATAAAAGTTTACAATTTTTCAATTTATTACTTTTCGATTTTCCACAGTTGGCCTCTTTCGATTTCACAGTTTTCCAATTTTTTGATTTGTCGGCTTTTGGATTTTTCGATCGTTTGAAGTTTCGATTTCTCGATGCTTCAGTTTTTAAGTTTTTTGATGTTTCCACTTTACGATTTCCCAGTTTTCCGATTTTTTGGCTATTTGATTTTCCAATTTTTCGTCTTTTCGATTTTCAGTTACTCGACTTTTTCAGTTTTTCCATTCTTCTATTTTTGCGATTTTTCAATGTTTCGATTTTTTGATGTTTCGATTTTCCGATTTTTCAATTTTCCGGTATCTTAATTTTTCAATTTTTCGAATTCTCAATTTTTCAAGTTTCGATCTCTCAATTTTTGAGTATTTCAGCTTTTAGATTTTTGAGTTTCTTTATTCCCCAGTTTTTCGATTTTTCATTTTCTCGGTTTTTCAATTTCTCAATTTTTAGTTTTTCAATTCCTCAAATTTTCGATTTTTCAATTTTTCGATTTCTGAAAAGCAAAAATTTTTGGACATTCATTTTTCGATTTCTCAATTTTTCGACGTTTCAGTTTTGACACATGTCAATTAAATTTTTCTTCCATTTTTCATTTTTCGACATTTCAGGTTTGGGAATTTTTTCCATTTTTCGATTTTTCGTTTTCTTGATGTTTTAATGCTTCGATTCCAAGATTTTTCAGTTCTTCGATATTTTAATTTTCCAATTTTTAAGATTCTAGATTTTTCGATTTTTCATTTATCGATTTTTAAATTTTTTCGAAATTTCGATTTTTTGATCAATTTCTCGATTTTTTGGTTTTTCAATTTTTCTATTTATCGAATTTTATAAATTTAAAAGTTTACAATTTTTCAATTTATTACTTTTCGATTTTCCACCGTTGGCCTCTTTCGATTTCACAGTTTTTGATTTGTCGGCTTTTGGATTTTTCGATCTTTTGAAGTTTCGATTTCTCGATGTTTCAGTTTTTGAATTTTGGAAATTTTCAATTACTCGATTTTTCAGTTCTTCGATCCTTCAATTTTTTTTTCTCCCTGAGTTTTTCGATTTACCAGTTTTTCATTATTTCTATTTTTCAATTTTTCGAATTTTTAAATTCCATGTTTTTCAGATTTTTCATTTTTCAATTTCTTAATTTTTAAAATTTTACATTTTTGAATTTTTCAATTTTCGATTTTACGATTTTTTGATGTTTCGATGTTTTGACAGTTCGCTTATTTGATTTCTAACATTTTTCAATTTTTATATTTATCTATTTTCCTTTAGTTTTTCAACATTTCAATTTTGGGAACTTTTCAATTTTTGGATATTTTGATTGGATTGCTCGATATTTCAACCTTTCGATTGTTCGATCTCCCAATACTTCGAGAAAAAATGTGGTCTACGTTCCTCTTATTCGGTTATTTTACTATCTGGACACCTAGAATAAATAATCAAGGCGGATTCATAAACCATAAGTAGTATGTTGTTATTTATATAAAATTTTAAAAAACATTTACCATGAAAAATATTGAGGTGACGTCATCAGATTGTTGGTGGGGTCGATCAGACCAATTTTGGTTAGTGCTTTACCATTAACTTACAGTATGTACTGGATATTTTTAAAATACAAACATTTGGAGACTATCTGTCTGACAAATATCGACACAGAAGACATACAACAGACAGACAGACGTAAAGGTAAAAGAAATTGAATTTGAAATATTATTTACAAATAGGTACGTGCTGAGAAAAATTATAAGTACCTATTTTTTTAATGATTTAATTACTGCCAAAATTACTTTTCAAAAATGAAACCTTAAACCAAACTAACGGAAGACAGTAAAATAACTTTTGAAAATGTCTTGAACAGTTGTACTATGCAGCTAAAGTAGAGTCTGCCAAATAGTGAATATTGACTTTCTGGTTATTGGAAGCCAGCAATAAACCGCTTATCATCATCATTATAATTCTAAGCAGTCTATTGGGGGCTTTCTGTAAGCACTTTTGGAAACACAAAACCAAATGTTCACTATTCGACGAACTTTAGTTTAATCAGTGTGCTACTTCAGCTTCAGTTCTTTCCAGAAACATATTTTTAATTCAACGAAAATTCACAAAAAAATCAGTATGTGTTACCTAACGAGTTCCAGTAACAATTGATTGGTTCAGAAGAATTCTGAACTGTGGTCGTTTGAAAAATTAGATGAGTCAGTCAGTGGTACTTTCGAATAAAGTGCAAAAGTAACTTATTAGAAAAATTCCAGTTCATAAAGCAAATAGATACTTCACAACAAAACACCCAATAAAAACAAAATGAAATCCGTTTTTCCGCAGACTTCGCCCCGACAAGAAAACCAATCTATCTGCGACGAAAAAACCGCAAATTCCCCATGCAAAATCCATCTCCTGCCTCTCTTTCCTCCTTCCTTCTCACCCGACAAAACCTAATTAACGCCTAACTGTACCCAACCCCATTCACTTGCGCTTTTTCCCCCTCGCGACTACCGCGGTGTGAAATTACTCAGCACGGAACGGTTCATCTGCAAAGAATAGAAAAACGGCAAAAACGGCCGCTTTCATGTCCCAACAACAAATCAATCACCTCTCGGACGTTGTCTGCAGCAGAATGCTCATCTCCGACATCAGATACGCTGCGAATCGACCGAGAAACAGGTCTGCGCCAGCTCGTGCCGAATGTTGATACGAGCGGCTGCAAGAAGTCGATGGCTCTCTTGACGTGAACTCTGACTTGCTACTGCGTGCCAACAAAGGGCTACTGCTGCTTGGAATTTTACGAGCCGGCAAAATGGCACGTTTGGTTCGTGTAGTTTGCGGAACGACGTCGGCGGAAAAGTGCTCGCAGGAGGCTGAAAGACACGGAGGCACGTTTTGTGGGAAAACAACGCGAATGATGGCGGCGAGTTAGGCGGGAACTCGCTATTGTGTGCGTTGATACGTGCCATTACCAGGCAAATCAAACATTTTTATAAAAAATTTGAAAAATTTTAAAATCAGATTTTGAGATGTTCTTTGTATGATAACTTCTATATATATCCCAGCAGCCTCTGCGTCGTGGGGGCGAAATTTAAAGCATACAATCAACGGAAAAATGGCCTCTCAGTTTAATAACAAGCTTTAACTTTGAGTGTTTAGTTATTTCGTTTTTATTGTATCTTTTTTAACCAACTTGTTTGATATGAATGAGTGTCGTCTCAAAACAGAGGACTAAAATTATTAATTAAATAAGGCACAGTCGAATAAATAAAGACGTGCGTATTCTCACCTTTTTTTAATTTGATCTATAAAAAAGATAAACATAGATAAGAGAGAAAAAGAGATTTTAAAATGGAATTTTTGGAAATGACCGTCATAAATTTGTTGGAGGGGATGATTATCCAAATTTTGGTTAGCGTTTTACCATCTACAAGATATTCCTAATATACAAAATTTGACAGACAGGCGGAAGCGGAAAACTTCTTTTTTCGAACTTTCGGGGTCACGAAACGTCGAGAAAACATAAAAGTGGCCATTCGCAAGATGCACGGACATAGCTTACGGTCAGGAAGTAAAAAGGCCATAATTTTCATAAGGGGAGGAGTGTTAGAAAATTGGGCTTTTGAAAAAGTTTCCTAAAAATCCACAAAAAATTCAAGGATTTAGATATGTATACTTTTGGAAATTTCATTCTACCCTATAAAATTTTATTGACAATAACGAGATGGACAGTAGTACAATGGTAAGAAAAATTTATGGCCCACACCAGTTCACCCGAATTTGTCGGAGAACATTTAGCAGGTAGTTTTACTCATAAAATAATGGTCATTTTCGTTCGTGAGTAACAATAGACTCTGTCCGGACCTGAATTATTCTGCTTTCTAACATCTGGGGAATACCGGCACGCGACAACTTTAAGTTGTAAATATTTATCTCTTGCAATTGTACTACTGTCCGTCTCCTTATTACCAATAAATTTTTATATGGTAGAAGGAAATTTCTAAAACTATAGTTCACAAGTCTAAGTTCGGGAAAAATCAATAAAAAATTCCTTACGTCAATTTGACGTTCCCTTCCAGAAACAAAATATCGATTTAGACCAATAAATCAAAAAACTCTAAAAATTAACCACATTTGGGCCCAAGGATTTTTTAAATTATTTTTTCTCTGTTCCATAAACAGTCCTCAACAACTAGAGTTGGTACGCCATTTTTTCAGCACCCTGTATAGATATATAAATTGATAATTTTGAAGGTGATCCAAAGAAGGTCGAAATTTTCATAAATAAGTGAAAAATTGGCTTTTTCAAAAAAAATCCAAAAAATTTGCTATTCGACCCACCACTTCGAGAAATACAATGTGGTTCCAAACCAAGATTTTGAAAACCAAAATATTTTTATCCAAAAAATTGACATAGATACCTGTATAAGGTGATTTTGGAAAACTGGTAAGAGTTTTCGAAGAAATTGGGGGCGAAATCTAAAAAAAAAATATTCCCAAGTAGTTTCAAAGGTGGTCGAAAAAATCCCGAAATTTTCATTAGGAAAATTTGGGATTTGAAAAAGTTTCCTGAATGTCCACAAAAAATTGTGGGATATAAATTTCGACCCGCTGATCTCATAAATATATTAGCCTGTTTAATGTTTATTGTTCAAAGCAAGGTTATGTAAATGTTTGGTCTGGAAATAAAATTTTTTAAAAAATCTTAAAAATTCTATCTCAGTGAACGATTCTGAAAAAATGGCAGAAGTTTTCGAAGAAATGAAGTTAAAAATTCTGTTGGTAGAAATCTATCTTTATTATTTAATTGATGAAAAATTGAACATTTGGAATAGTTCTCTAAAAGTCCACAAAAAATTCTAGGACACATATCTCGAAGCATTATTTCGAAAAAAAACACCGTATTTATGGCCCCAAAGCAAGATTTTAGAAATAGTTGCATATTCGGTTTGACATTTTTTTTTTTAATTTCATTAGGAGATTTTGAATTTTCGATGAAATGAGGCCGAAAATAGTTGCCAGAGGTCGAAATCTGTCCATAAAAAATTCAGCAATATAGATCTCGGAGTGTTAATTGGAAAAATATAGCTTGTTTATGACCTAGGAGCAAAATTTTAGAAATATTCGGTTTGAAAATCAACTGTTTTCAAAAATCATTGCAATTGCCATATTTCGTTGGGCGGTTTTGGAAAAATCGTAGGGAGGGGAAGTATTGAAAATCTGGGTTTTGAAAACGTTTCCTAAATATTGTGGGATATAAACTTCGTTGTGCTGATTCTATAAATATAGTTCCATGTTTAATATTTGTTGTCCAGAGCTAGATTATATAAATATTTCGGTTGAAAGTAAAATTTTTTAAAAATTCCTAAAAATTGCTACTACTCAATGAACGATTCTGAAAAAATGGTAGGTGTTTTCAAAGAAATGAGGTCGAAATTGGCAAAAATATCACTTTCGGTAATTTTGAAGTTGGTCTAAAGAAGGTCGAATTTTCATAGGTAAGTCAAAAATTCAGTTTTTGAAAAACTTTGTCTTAAAATTTAGAAAAAAAAATTGTGTGATTATGGTTCTAAAACAAGGTTTTAGAAGTATCCCGCTTGATTTTTTTTTCTAAAAGGCGATTCTGGAAAAGTGGTAAGAATTTTCCAAGAAGCAGGCCGCAAGTAACTTCGGGAGATCGACATCCACATTTGGTAATTTTGAAGGTGGTCCAGAGAAGGTCGAAATTTTCATGAAAAATTCAGCTTTTCAAAAAGTTGTCTAAAATGTCCACAAAAAATTCTGGGATATAGATCTCGACGCACTATTTCGAAAAATACAGCGTGTTTATAGGCCCGAAGCAAAATGTTTAAATAGTTGTCCGGTTTGACTTTTTTTTTTAATTGCATTAGGTGATTCTGGAAAAATGGTAAGAATTTTCGAAGAAACGAGGCCGAAAATAACTTCCAGAGATCGAAATCTATCCATAAAAAATTCTGCAATATATGTAGATTTCGAGATCTCTGCATAGCATGTTTATGTTCTCGGAGCAAGATTTTAGAAATATTTTAAAATCAAGTTTTTTTTTTGAAGAATCATTAAAATTACCATATTTCGTTGGGCGATTTTGGAAAAATCGTAGCAGTTGCTGAAGAATTGTGCCCGAAAGCAACAAGTCCGCAAAAATATTACTTTCGCTAATTTTGAAGGTGGTCTAAAGAAGATCGAAATTTTCATAGGTAAGTGAAAAATTGAGTTTTTGAAAGTCTAAAAATCCTAGAAAAAATTTGGGATTCGACCTACTACTTCGCAAAATACAAGGTAATTGTGGTTCCAGCGCAAGCTTCTAGAAATATCAGGTTTGAAAACCAATTTTTTTTATCCAAAAAATTGGCATAGGTTTTTCCATAAGGCGATTTTGGAAAATTGGTAAAAGTTTTCGAAGAAATGAGGTAGAAATGTAGAAAAAAATATTCTTAAATAATTTCAAATGTGGTCGAAAAAATGCCGAAATTTTGAGAAGGGGAGAATATTGAAAATCTAGGCTTATGAAAAAGTTTCCTAAATATCAAAAAAAAAAAAATTGTAGGATATAAATTTCAATGTGCTGATTCCATAAATGTGGTAGAATGTTTAATGTTTATAGCGAGAACACGATTATATATTCTTTAAAATATCCTAAAAATTGCTCTCAATGAGCGATTTTGTAGGTCGAAATCTATCTTTATGTAATTTTCAAATGTGGTCGAAAAAATCAAAATTTTCATGAAAAATTGAAGTTCCAAGCAAGATTTTAGAAACAGTTATCTCGTTAGACATTTTTTTTTAAAGTTTGTTTCATTAAGCGATTCTGGAAAAATGATACGAATTAAAGAATTTTAGATCGCAACGTGCTAATTCGAAAAACTTAGCCTGTTTATGATTCCTGAGTAAGATTTTCTCAGGAACCATAAACAGGTTAAATTTTTTTAAAGATTTTAGAAATATTCGGTTTGAAAGTCAACTATTTTCAAAAATCATTAAAATTTTGAAAAAATCGTAGCAGTGTTGCAAAAAAAATGAGGCTGAAAGTAACTTCTGGACGACGAAATCCACTGAAATAGCACTTTGCGTAATTTTAAAGGTCGAAATTTTCATGGCTGAGTGAAAAATTGAGTTATTGAAAAAGTTTCCTAAAGCGTGATTATGGCTCCAGAGCAAGGTTTTAGAAAAATCTAGTTTGAAAACCAATTTTTTTTTATCCAAAAAATTTACATAGTTACATACTTCCTTAAGGCGATTCTGGAAAATTGGTAAGAGTTTTCTAAGAAATGAGGCCGAAATCTAGAAAAAAATATTCATAAGTAATTTCAAAGGTGGTCGAAAAAAATTTCGCAATTTTCATAAAGCATTAAAAATCTGGGCGTTTGGAAAAGTTTCCTAAATATTCCACAAATATAATAGCCTGTTAAATATTCAATGTCCAAAGCAAGATTATATAAAATAATTGGTTTGAAAGTTAAATTTTATAAAAAATTCTAAATATTGCTATACCTTAATGGGCGATTTTGGAAAAATAACTTCTCTGGAAAATCTATCTTTATGCAATTTTCAAAGGTGGTCGAAAAAAGTCGAAATTTTCATGAAAAATTGAGTTTTCGAAAAAGTTGTCTAAAAATCCACAAAACATTCTGCGATATAAATCTCCATGTGCTGATTCGAAAAATACAGCGTATTTATGGTCCCAGAACATGAAGTTAGAAAGTCAATTGTTTTAAAAAATTATTAAAATTGCCATATTTCGTAGGGTCATTCTGGAAAATTGTAGGAGTTTTCGAAGAAATGAGGCAGGAAGTAACTTCTGGAGATCGAAATCCACAACAATACCACTTTTGACGATTTGGAGGATCATCTCATAACTGAGTTTTTGAAAATGTTACCATGGAAAATTTTGGGATTCGACCCACTA